TTCTCTCTGTTTTTTTTCTCATGCCTGTCTGTCTCTCTCTCTCTCTCTCTCTCTCTCTCTCTCTCTCTCTCTCTCTCTCTCTCTCTCTCTCTCCTCTCTCCCCTCTATCTTCTCCCTCTCCCCATCTCTGTCTACCCCTCCCTCTCTCTCCCCTCCCCCACCCCACCCCTCTCCTCTCCCCTTCTCTCTCTCTCCTGTAATTATTTGGGACAAAAGATACACGTTCCTTAAGGCTCCCGAGGATACAGCCTTGCTGTGGGAGGCCCACACCTTCCTGTAGCCTCTTCACCTCACTAGAAGGCGGCAAATACTGGTCAGAGAGCCACGAGTGGCGCGAATCCAGACCCTGGCACTGCAAGGCACGGCCAAGGATGATTCTAGGAACATGTTCTGGGATAGGTTTCCAGGCCACAGTGGCTACGGACCACTGGGCTGCAGCCTCCATCTGCCGTGCCCACAGTCCTGAGCGCCTGCAATATCCCTTTCTCCCCTCCGCGTGCTCCCATGAGAGCTACGGTGGGCTATTGAGCCTCTTGCCCTCAACCCCAAGACACTGTTTGGCTCTGGAGGTGGGTGTGGTGGAAACTATAAATAGCTCTAAGCAGAGAGACCGTGTGATCTGGTGGAGGCAGATCTCTAGGCTGGGAGGGGCAGAGACAGCCATTGCTCTGCAGTGACCCAGCGGCTCATCTTGGGGGTAGAGGAGAACACACTGAACCCCTTGAACCTCAGACTCCCTGGTGCAGGGTAAGCGTCTGTGATCCCCGAGATTCCTACGTGTAAGACTGATCTTCAGTCTGTTGGTCCTCAGAGTTGAGCCTTCGGGGACCAATTCACAAGGTTGATATGAATAGCGCCCACAAGGCCCCCAGCAAGCTCTTTCGCTTTCCTTTGGAGAGGTGCCTCCTGGTGAGGCAGGGGCTCGCCCTCTAAGACACCCCAAGATGCTGCCTCTGCTGCTGCATCCTGAGTCTAGACTTCAGCCTCCACAAGTGTGAGGTGCTTTATTGGAGTGGCCTGATTGGATCAAGACGTCCTCTGTCTGCGAAGCAGGGACTAGTGCTACCCTCACAGGCACCCCGCGTGCTTCCGTGGAGCGCTGTGAAAACTGAGCCGCCCATATGGACACTACAACTACGAGACCACAAGTCTACTGACCACATCCTCCAAAGACTCCACGTCTGAGACCAGGATGCTGCCCCTTTAAGGTCTTACCCAAGGACTGCTGTGTGAAGTCACCATTCAGATGTCACTTAATGTAGGCATCTATCTCAGTTTCCGCTGCAATGGGCTTTCCCACGTGTAGGGAGGGTAGAAGTAGAACCTGGGCCACACAGCCCTCCCTCTAAATGCATGTGCTCCCATCATTTTTTCCCCTACTTGTCTCTCTCCTGTTTTGTTGCACCCCGGGATTTTATTACCAGGTGCTTGGGTCTCTTCTGGAGTAGGGGTGATAGAGAAACTGGGGTACATGGAAAACATTCACCTGGACTCGGCAGCTCATGCCTCCTATCCCAGTGCCTGAAAGGCTGAAGTAGGGATACTGATGAGAGTCCGTGGCCAACCTGGACTATATAGTGAGTTCTAGGCCAGCCTGAGCTACAGGGTAAGAAAATATGAAACCAAATAAACAGAAAAACGAATAAATAAATAAAAAACAAACACTGGCCGCTGTGGAAAGTCATTTCTGAAGTACTCGGTTCTTAGAGGCAGAAACAAGTAGGATGCTAGCAAGTGAACAGACCCTCTCCATGCCCAGGAATAGTGAGTAACTGAAGTCAGAGCTCCAAGCTCCCCATGGTGGACGGATCTTCATATATTTGTACTTTATCCTCCCAGGAAGAAAGACTAAGGGATAAAGTGCCTATTCCCACTGCCCCATTTGCAGCTGATGGAGCCAGGGCACACGTGGTCAAGCCCTGTCCCATACCACGGAGGCATAGCTTGTGCCTCATCCTGCCTCCTTTCTCTTCTCGGTGTTTCACAGCGGTGACGGGGGCCCTTGGCAGGCGGCCTTCTCTGCCTGCATTTGCTATAGCCTTACCTGCCATGGCCATAGTTTTCTGGCACGTGGTACATGAAGACGTTTCCACGGGTTCTCCTTGCCCAGAGGCTGGCCATGTTGATCATGGGACAGATGATAAAGTAGTCCCTGGGGAAAGGACAGAGGAGGGGGTTCAGTTACATGGCTCTGGGAGGGGAGGGCTGTCCCAGGCGAGTGTGTCTCACAGGCAGGCCTTGCCCTCCAAGTCCATCCCCCAAAAATCCCCCTGCCCAGGCCTTACAGGGGTGCTTTCCAGTGGCCACACTGGTAGATGTGTGGCTCTGGTTTATGGCAGGCTGCAGTCTGAAAGGTGGGCATGGCGATGGATTTCCCACGTCAAGCAAGAGGTCCCTGTTGGTCTGAACCACTTTCCAATCAGCATCACTTAAAGTGTGCTAGGGAGCCCAGTGGATGCACCGGTTAAGCGTACCTCTGGATAGACGGCAGAGTGCTCAAACATTCTGCATGAACAAGGTACCCTTGGTTCTAGCTCTTTGCGGACTGAATTTGCCAAACCTCTAACCCCAGGCAACTTTCAGCAAGGCCCCGAGACAGTTTTGTTTGTAACAGGGATTAGAAAATTTTCTCCGGGCTTCTGCTCACAAAGGCTCCAAGTAAAGCCTCATTCGGTCCAAATGGTAAGAGGGCGGCGTTCCAAAACCTGCTGAGGTGATGGAGACTCATACTGGTTCCTCATTCGGGCGAACGTGAGCCTACTTAAGAAGCTCTGCTTGTGTCCGTGGGCTCTGTATGTATGGCCAAGCAGGCCGTGTGCCTCAAGAACTGGTCAAACCCAGGGATCAGACAGATCACGTTGGCCTCGGCTCTGGGGCTTTGAGTTCCTACTACATTGTTGGTAAGGTAAGGCCCAGTAGTTCTTGGTCCTCTTTGGTTTTCCAGCTGAGAAGTTTGGCCTGGGACCCTGTCCTGCAGAGACTTTGCAATGCTGGACACTCTGGAATCCCGTCTCATCAGTGGGCT